CAGGGGGGGATATCTAACATGTGGCCGTCGGGGCCCCCCAAAATGGGGGGGGCACAAGAGCAGGAAAAATCAACGAATCGACACCGGAAGTGTATTAACTGGACACGTTCTGATAGGGGGCCTCCTGGGGCCTCCTGGGAGCCTCCTGGGAATCTCCTGGGGATCCCTGGGGCCTGTCCTGGGCGTCCTGCGGCCTGCTGAAGCTCTCTGGGGCCTCCTGGGAGCCACATGTGGTCTTCTGGGCCCCCAGGCTGGACCACCTCTTGCGCAGCATCTGAGAGCTCAGAGTTGCGAGAATGTCTTGTGCGAAACGGGCCGGACCACCTTGCGCACGGCATCTCAGAGCTCAGAGTTGCGAGGATGTCTCAGGCGAGATGGGCCGGACCACCTCGCGCAGGGCATCTCGGAGCCCAGAGTTGCGAGGATGTCTCCAGCGTGACGGGCTGGACCACCTCGCGCGCGGCATTTCGGACCCCAGAGTTGCGACGATGTCTCGGGCGAAACGTGCTGCGAGGAAGTCTCAGGCGAAACGGGCCGGACCACCTCGAGCGTGGCGTCTCAGAGCTCCGAGTTGCGGGGGCCTCCTGGGGCCTCCTGGGACCTCCTGGTGACCTCCTGGGGCTTCCTCCTGGGCCTCCTGTGGCCTCCTGGACCCCACCTGGGGCTTCCTACAGCCTCTTGGGGCTCCCAGGGGGGATATCTAACATGTGGCCGTCGGGGCCCCCCAAAATTGGGAGGGGGCCACAAGAGCAGGAAAAATCAACGAATCGACACCGGACGTGTATTAACTGGACACGTTCTGATAGGGGGCCTCCTGGGAGCCTCCTGGGAATCTCCTGCAGACCCCTGGGGCCTGTCCTGGGCGTCCTGCGGCTTCCTGAAGCTCTCTGGGGCCTCCTTGGGCTCCCAGGGTCCCAGGGGGGATATGTAACATGTGGTCTTCTGGGCCCCCAGGCTGGACCACCTCTTGCGCAGCATCTGAGAGCTCAGACTTGCGAGAATGTCTTCTGCGAAACGGGCCGGACCACCTTGCCCACGGCATCTCAGAGCTCAGAGTTGCGAGGATGTCTCAGGCGAGATGGGCCGGACCACCTCGCGCAGGGCATCTCGGAGCCCAGAGTTGCGAGGATGTCTCAGGCGAAACGGGCTGGACCACGTCGCGCGCGGCATCTCGAACCCCAGAGTTGCGACGATGTCTCGAGCGAAACGTGGTGCGAGGAAGTCTCAAGCGAAACGGGCCGGACCACCTCGAGCGCGGCGTCTCAGAGCTCCGAGTTGCGGGGGCCTCCTGGGGCCTCCTGGGGCCTCCTGGTGACCTCCTCGGGCTTCCTCCTGGGCCTCCTGTGGCCTCCTGGACCCCACCTGGGGCTTCCTGAAGCTTCTTGGGGCTCCCAGGGGGATATCTAACATGTGGCCGTCAGAGCCCCCCAAAATGGGGGAGGGGGGCCACAAGAGCAGGGAAAATCAACGAATCGACACCGGATTTGTATTAACTTGACACGTTCTGATAAGGGGCCTCCTGGGGCCTCCTGGGAGCCTCCTGGGAATCTCCTGGAGACCCCTGGGGCCTGTCCTGGGCGTCCTGCGGCTTCCTGAAGCTCTCTGGGGCCTCCTGGGGCTCCCAGGGAGGATATGTAACATGTGGTCTTCTGGCCCCCAGGCTGGACCGCCTCTTGCGCGGCATCTGGGAGCTCAGAATTGCGAGAATGTCTTGTGCGAAACGGGCCGGACCACCTTGCGCACGGCATCTCAGAGCTCAGAGTTGCAAGGATGTCTCAGGCGAGACGGGCTGGTGTCTCGGGCGAAACGCGCTGCGAGGAAGTCTCAGGCGAAACGGGCCAGACTACCTCGAGCGCGGCGTCTCAGAGCTCCGAGTTGCGGGGGCCTCCTGGTGCCTCCTGGGGCCTCCTGGGGACCTCCTGGGGCTTCCTCCTGGGCCTCCTGTGGCCTCCTGAACTCCACCTGGGGTTTCCTGAAGCTTCTTGGGGCTCCCAGGGGGGGATATCTAACATGTGGCCGTCGGGGCCCCCCAAAATGGGGGGGGGCACAAGAGCAGGAAAAATCAACGAATCGACACCGGAAGTGTATTAACTTGACACGTTCTGATAGGGGGCCTCCTGGGGCCCCCTGGGAGCCTCCTGGGAATCTCCTGGGGACCCCTGGGGCCTGTCCTGGGCGTCCTGCGGCCTCCTGGAGCTCTCTGGAGCCTCCTGGGACTCCCAGGGTCCCAGGGAGGATATGTAACATGTGGTCTTCTGGGCCCCCAGGCTGCGCCACCTCTTGCGCGGCATCTGGGAGCTCAGAGTTGCGAGAATGTCTTGTGCGAAACAGGCCGGACCACCTTGCGCACGGCATCTCAGAGCTCAGAGTTGCGAGGATGTCTCAGGCGAGACGGGCCAGACCACCTCGCGCAGGGCATCTCAGAGCTCAGAAGTTCGAGGATGTCTCAGGCGGGCTCCCAGGGTCCCAGGGAGGATATGTAACATGTGGTCTTCTGGGCCCCCAGGCTGGACCACCTCTTGCGCGGCATCTGGGAGCTCAGAGTCGGAGAATGTCTTGTACCAAACAGGCCGGACCACCTTGCGCACGGCATCTCAGAGCTCAGAGTTGCGAGGATGTATCAGGCGAGACGGGCCAGACCACCTCGCGCAGTGCATCTCAGAGCTCAGAAGTTCGAGGATGTCTCAGAAGAAACGGGCCGGACCACCTCTCGCGCGGCATCTCCGAGGTCAGAGTTTCGAGGATGTCTCAGGCGAAACGGGCCGGACCACCTCGCGCAGGGCATCTCAGAGCTCAGAGTTGCGACGATGACTCGGGCGAAACGGCCCGGACCACCTCTCGCACGGCACCTCGGGGCTCAGAGTTTCGAGGATGTCTCAAGCGAAACGGCCCGGACCACCTCTCGCGCGGTGTCCCGGAGCGCAACTTTTCGAGGATGTCTCAGGCGAAACGGCCAATCCCGGCCAACCCAGAAACGAGAGTTGTGAGGATGTCTCAAGCGAAACGGCCCGGACCATCAATTTTTTGTGAGGATGTCTCTGCTCCGACTTCCCTCGGCCGGAGTTAGTTTCTATCACAACAGCACCCCGTTCAGCAAGCTGTTTGGGGGGGAAAAAAAAAAAGGCCAGCAGTCCTCCCTCCTCCTCCTCCTCCTCCTCTCCTCCTCCCTCCTCTCCTCCTCCTCCTCCTCCTCTCCTCCTCTCCTTCTCCTCCTCCTCCTCCTCCTCCTCCTCCTCCTCCTCCTCCTCCCTCCTCCTCCCTCCTCCTCCTCCTCCTCCTCCTCCTCCTCCTCCTCCTCCTCCTCCTCCTCCTCCTCCTCCTCCTCCTCCTCGGGCTCCGAAGTTTGTCAAAAAGGCAACTGCGGCCCTCCCTTGCGTGTCTCGTCCTTTTTGGGGGCCTGCTGGAGGCTTTTCGTCGCCAATGCTGGGTCCGCCTCGAAAACGGGCCAGGAATTGGGCCTCGGGAGGGATGCAAAGGCCGATTTTGAGCGGAGATGGGCCTGGTGGCAGAGCCGCCGTTGTCTCAAGTGGCCCTCTTCCGAGCATTCGTTGGCCGCAGTTTCAGGCGCGGTGGGGCTCAGGATGACGGGAGTTCACAGGGACATTCTTTCGACAAGCACATATTCGGAATCTACCGGCCCTCGGCCCTTTTGGAAGCTCTGCCTAGGTTGGTGCATAAAGGGTTATCGAATGCATCTGAGCGTCTCTTGGGATTACTCCTGGGAGCCTCTTGAGGGCCTGCTGGCTGTCTCTTGAGGACCATCTTGGGGGGCATCTGGCCCACAGTTCCCCGACCACCTGCCAATGAGCAGGCGGCTGGCCTCGCTCCATATGCTTCTCCTCTACTGTCCTCCCTTCTTCCTTCCTTCCTTCCTCACTTTCCTCCCTTCCTCCTTTTCTCCCTTTCTTCCTTCCTATGTTCTTCTTTCCTTCTTCTTTTCCCTTCCTCCGTTTCTCCTCTACGTTCCTCCCTTCCTCCTCCCTGTATGCGCTCTGCGGCGTCGCAGTGTTTCACCTCAATCCCACACGCCAGCGCTTTTCTGAGAGCTTCGGCGCCACTCTGCAGCACCCCCCTCAGTGCAGGACGCATCCCGTGCTTGTGCCCGTGTAATCTTGGGGCAGATTGGGCGGATCTTGAAGACCGTACCCTGGAGCCCCAAGACCACCCAAGCGCCCCCAAGAGAGTCCCGGGACGGCCCCTTGAGGCTACATTGAAACGCGCTGGAGGTGTGGATGCCGCACACCGGCCCCGAGGCCTCTGGAGATGTCACGCGCAGTCCAGCGCGCGGCAGCGCCCAGAGAATCTGGCAATCGGTGGCTTGAGGCGTGTAAGAGCATTTACAATGCTCAGTACCGTGGGGCCGGAGGGACCTGAGAGCCGAGAGCACCCCACTCGGCTCCTCACGCAACGGTGGCGGATTTGGCGGCGCGTTGTATCCAGGAAGTTGCACCCCAGCAACAAAGTACCCTTTCACCAATAAGTGGCCGCGCATAGTTACTCGCCACGATTGCAGGGGTTAAGTAGGGGACCGAGAGATTCGCTGGTGAAAATTGGTTTAGGCTTCTTGTCAATTTCGGAAGGCCGAGGGCGTATAACTAATTATGCGCATGCTCAGCTCGATGCGCCATGGGGTGAAGAATCTAGGAACAGCCGCGGTACCTCATGATGGCAGACAATGTCTGCCGCAGATGGTTTTCTTGACTCGCCTGAGCTTGAAAATAGTAGGCCCCCGCCGTTGGCGTCCCGCACGGTTCTTCCCACAGTGTCTTGGCCTTAGTTCGCTTGGACACTGGCGTTCCAGTGGTTGCCCATAGGCTCACCGCTTAGAAGGCCCCGTTCCCGCCGCCGGTTCCCCTTGCCTCGGCTTTCTGGTGGTTTACCGTAGGTTCCCGGACCGGGAAGGATGGAGATCGTGAAGGTTTACCAGCGTCGGGTGTTGGAGGACGCCCGGGTTGAGGCGGTTGTGGGGCCACGATTGCTCCCGAGGAGAGACAGAAAGCATGGAGGACGACACGGACCAGAGGGACATCGGGCTGAAGTGCCGCATTCTGTCGGACAAGATCCCATCGAACCAG